TACCCGTTGTTAAGGTGAAGAGGGTGATCTGCAAGACTCAAGTGTTATGGACCAGTGACGTAAGTGAGCAACCCCTGTCACCGTGTCAGCACCGTTAACGGACATTTCGAGCACAGATCGGCCTCATTGGACATCTCCGGACACGGCGAAATGTCAGCATGACCAACCCCCTCCCCCCTCGTCTCACAAAATGCTACCACCAACATCAGCAACGAGGACACCCCTGCTATTCTGCCAACCATCACCACAAGTAATGCAGACCGCTCCATTGCACCACGCCTCAACCTGGTCGGTCGCCTGCGAGTCCAGCACATGGTGACTGGCTGACCAGTGACTTTAACACTGATATGAACCAATAACCTGTCCACACTGCCAAACGACAGGAAGTCATCGAATGCACCTATATGATCGTATCCGTACCTGCGAAATAGCACAGTCCAGAGCCTGTTACAACGGCTCGTCCTGCTTCCACACACACATACACACACGGCTCCCATGTTGCACGCGAAAGTGCTCCGAAAAATGCGTATGCACGATACCTCTCAGTGGCAGACCCTGCATCACTCCAAATTTGCTAGCGCCGGTATGGCGAGCCGGACGTCGCATGTTAAAACATGCACTTTTTGCCAAAGTGGGATGCATGTCTACTGGTGTGGCCTGGTAAATGATGTGGGGAGAAGGTCGGGCGTGGCAAGACTGCACGGGGTGCTTAGCCTCGACTGCGTCCAATTCCCATTTCCAGCCGGTTTAAATCAAACCGGCGGCAGGTTCATGAGGGAAGGGACAGTGAGAGCAACACTGGGGGAGTCCGTTGTCATGGCACTCAGGCAAGCTGCTGACTGTTATAAATTCGATAAGTCAAGTTCGCAAACACATGCTTTCGGTATTTCATCATCAGGCCCCTACAGTTACGTAGAGATTGAAAATTGGAGATGTTCATTGGTTTTTTTTAGTATCTCAGAAGTTATTAACACTCATCGTTCCCACGCCACTCGCAAGACGAGGTAGACATTTTATGGTCATTGGGGGGTGACATAGGCTGTGAATGATGTTTTTAGGTCGATTACGTGGAGTACACATCACTGTCATCAAGGGGTTGGGGCGGCGTGCGATGACCATCTGGGGCCAGCGTTGGCCACGGAAGACAGGGCGCCTGTGTCAACGTCTTCTGATAACATAGCGCTGGATTCGCTAGCCGTACAATCACTGTCTCGGCTGTAGCTAACACCCACTGGCGTACGCCTTTAGAGAAGCTTGCTGGTATCCAGTAGACAACCTCAAAGGCTTCCTTGGTATTGACTCGGTGATTTGTATCGATTAGATATGCGAGAGTAGAACTCACAATCGATCTGTTTTCACCTCTGCCTAGCCGGGCTGGTATGTGTTCGCATACCCTCTTTCCCAGGCATCTCGTTGTACAGCCAATGTATCTCGCTCCACAGCAGCAAGTGAATGAGTAAATACATATCGATTTGGACTGAAACGGTAGTTGGTCTTAACCTCCCAAGCGTACGAGGGAGGGGAGAGAGGTTGTAGAACATACGTGTAAAATCGCCGCGGGGAAGCGCTAGTGATCGTTGTTGTTAAACGTCGCCGTTATAGACCGCTTACTGCGTTCCGTAGAAAAGACAGTATCGTAAACAAGTCTTTCCTTTCTGCAATTGTCGTGGTGTCCTTTGTAGTGCGCTGCCCAATATTCAGGAGGATGAATGTCTCTGTGGCTGTCGTTTTCGCGAAGTATGTTTCGCCAGATGCTTAAGTTCTGCTTCAACGCTTTCAGGAGAGCAGATGCATCGCACTCCAGCTGCCAATCATCGGCTAACTTGACACTGATCTGTCATCGAAATATGGCGGCTGAGAGGGCAGAGTGCGGTAGATGTTGTGAAGGTCTGCCCTACTATAAGCTAACTGCTGCTCAGTCCGCATTGCACGCTTGAGGCGGATGTCGTCGTTTACGACAGTTAAACAATCGTCTGTGTGTACACATGCATGGAAAGTAGAAATTACTTCTCAACTCAAATTGGGTAATTTTGATACTGCTGAGCCAGTATGTACCCCCATTTAGCTTAGACGTACGGAGTAAGTAGCTCATTAGGAGTGCAGTAGGCCAGATGCAGACAGCTGCCTCGCAGTCGTTACTGGTTATCAGCTGACAGACGGACGAAATAGGATCGAGCAAGATACTAACCACAACAGTGAAGACCACGCGCTTACCTGACACGTATGAGGTTTTTAAGCCAAATGCACCTCTATACTATTGCTCTCTAGTTAGTAAGCTTAACGTGGGAACGGTGTAAATTAGAACGGCAGGAAGTCAAGGATAAGACCAAAAAGGCATGAGGTGCGGAGCATACTCCCAAATTTATTGGAGTTCCATCTAATGCTGTTCGTCAGGACCTAAACTGGCTTGCCGGAGGAAGGAGATGGAAACGTTCACCTCCGAGTTCGGAAAATGATTCCCATACCGGGTCGCTCAATGCAACCGCTCTCCAGCAAATCATAGTTGAACCGAACTCTCAGACGACAGTAGGACAGCGTTCAGCGTGCTCTGATTGGACTCGCTGGGGGAGACAACGACCTGCTCAAAAGCAACAACAGCAAAACGAACCAGGACTACTGCCAGGGACAGAAATGGCTTTTATTCCAAACAGCGACAACCACAACAGTGGTAGAACGAGAATAGGATAACTCACGTGCTTGCCAGCGGAAAGCCAGGTCCTGACGCGCGTATCTTCCTCGGAAAAGGACTCTGTGACAACAATGTTTGCTGCCACCTGCTGAGCCTCCGTCAGAGCATCCACCAGACGGTGGACTCGGTCGCAAAGGCTGGGGTCCAAGTCAATGGAGCAGGGGGCTAGTTGAAAACGAATTGGTGAACGGCAATAAAGGGGGGAGGAGTCGCAGTCATGGAAGCCACAGCAAGGAGGCTGGGAGGCGCTAGCAGCAGTCAGTAGGTGCAGTCGGACGGCCGGACTCGAAGATGAGGCGCCGGAATCGTCGAAGGTGAGTAGCTAGGGAGAGAAAAGGCCAATGGACTGGTCATCGGCTACATCGTCACGGCCACGCTTCTTGAGCTATGCTCTTTTTTCTATCTCAGAGGAAACTTGAAGGCAAAGTGAATGACCGCCTGCAGGTCAAAAGTAGTCACAGCCACGACTAACTGCAAAGTGGACGACGGCGAACAATTTTGCACGCTCCATCTTGACTTATGAAGCGCTTTTGTAACCGATGCGACTAGAAGCACAAAAAGAGAGTGTGAAAAAAAAACGTCCAAAGACACAATCTCCTCTTCTTGCTTAGCAAACACTCCCAACACACACACAGGTGCCGAGAGGAAGGCAGTTCGGCGTATAAGAGTATTATAAACTACCTTCAATTTTGCAGATTGAAGGCAAGGCAGGTTTGAAACTAAGTGGGGACATGAGCTCTGAGCAGAGCGCATCAAATCATCTCATCGATCTCACATCTGCGTACAAGGCCATAGTGATGCAATTATAAAAAGTCAATATCGATCGCTCATTAACTGAGATTGTAAACACCGCTTATTTGCAATTGACTTGTCCCTTATGATGGCACCTCTTGCGGGTGTCCAAAGGACCTGACAACAAGACCTTTTCGACACCGAGTGCAGGGGTCCCTATAAAAGATTGACGCTGGCAAACCTTGACTTCAACGCTGAGTACATCACCGACACAGCACATGGGCTAATTCAACTACAGCTCTCCGATGCGTCGGAAAAGCCTGTCTGACGAGCCGAACCCCTCGCAGCTGCGTCAGGCAGCGGCACAAGATCGGCGAAACACGCGTGTCTGGGCTTTTAGCTAATACCTGTGTTGTTAGTACGGTAAATTATTGCGCAATGCTATACTACTGGCTGCCTGTTGGCGGTTTGTGAATATTAAGCGGTTATTCCGCAGTAGCTGATGGATTTCAGCTCAAATATTCATATCAAATTTCGGACCGTGCCTTAAAAGGCCTGTGTCGAAAGAGTTACTCCACGTTCGCGCATTAATTTCCTCGGAAATTAAGCAAGGCATGTCTGAATAACGGTCCCGGCTAGTATGGAGAAGCCAATGGTCTGTCTTAAGATATGTTAAAAGTGCGGATTACGTCAGGTGCCTCATGTAATTACAAGCGGACTTGTTTGCTTCATGTAACACGGGTATAAAAACTTGTAGAGGCAGACTTGCAACATGAAATTAATCCTTCCATAAATCTTTGCCACTTTTCCGGAGACATTTTCGTGAAACATTTGTGGAATGATTTTTGTTCATGATTTTCCCTCACTTTTGAATAAGAAGGAAATTAGTTCCTTTGTCGGAGTAGTAGGTTATATTTATGCATTTTGTTTAGTCTTTGCGATTGGTTGCGTCCTGGTGATATTGTGTACAACATGACGTTTATAAATGGTGTAAATTAAGGTGAGTCCTCGGCCAATCACTTACGCAAGTTTGAAAAACAGTCAGCCTGAAAGCTATCTCTCAGCATTGTAATTCTCTCTGCATAGCATACTCTTGCCGAAAAAGATACCAAGTTCTTGGATCTAAGATGAAGACAGGGAGTCGAATACCAGTTGTCGCCAATTTAAAAAAACGTCCGAAGAGTGATGTGATAAAAATTTACTCGGAAAACCACAAGTTAAACCTAGTAAAAGCCGAAGTCTATTCAACTGAAGGTCTCGTACACAATTAAGGAACGTCCAAAGGAAGAACTTCAAAGAGAATTCCCTGCAGCTGCTGACACGGCGGCTAAAATGGGGTTTTCCTAATTCTTCAAAGAACTGATGGAAACGCTAGTGTCAGGCCACAGGTCGGCACCCTATTGGACGAAACAGATGAACAAACGAGAAAGCCAATAAACCACAACCAAAGTCAACCAATCAACGCGTGCGGCAAAAAGGGTGGCGCAGAGCGGTGAAACCGTGTCGATGCCTGCACGCACAGACCCTCACCAGGGATGCACATACGTCGAGTATGCGGTGCGCTGCAAAAGGGCCGCGGATGAACGTACCCATTTGCATTGAGATCCTCTGGATTTACATTTTGAGTGCAGCTTATGCCAATTCGACAACAAGACCCCCCGACGTCTCTTCCGTCATCGATTTCAGGGCCCGGCTGTGGAACTTGCATGGAGCACAGAACTTCTACCCGTGCGCCCTCAAACGAAGTGCACCGGATGTGGAGGATCTGGATATGATTGAATGTGACCAGAAGGCCAGCCAAGTGATGGGAAACGTCATTCCTACCATCTACCCTGACACCAAGGTGGTTCGTGAGATCCGGATCAGCATTGAGGCAGGCCTGACGTTCATACCGGCGAAGGCCTTCCAGCACGTAGGTCACAGCCTCCATACTCTCACAATCAATGGTGGTCGGTTGCGCCGTATTCGAAAGGGCGCATTTATTGGCCTAACACAGCTTCGGAAGCTCAACATCACGGACTCGATAGGCGAGAAGGCCTCGAAAGGGATTGCGCACCGCCTGTTCGGCAGAGAGAGCGAGCTGGCAACGTTGACCAATCTTCGTGAACTCATTCTTCAAAACGTCGATTTGTCTGATGGTCTGGGGGAGAGAGCCTTCGCTGGAATTAGCGGTCATCTGGAGGACGTGCGTCTTGTGAACAATAGACTCCGCTCTATCAACGAAACAGCTTTTGAAGGGTGTCCATGCACAAACTCCATCAAGCGTTTCGCAATAGAGCAACAGCCTCCCAACGGTGACTGGATTAAGAGTCTGAGAAACTGGACTAAGGATCTTCAGGCCCTCGAAGAAATCTCTCTGACTGGCAATGATCTATCTACTACAAAGGAATTAAATTTCGGGGAGACTGTCGGCAAGAGTGTACGAGTGCTCCGCATTGAAAATTGCTCACTCACTTCGATTGGGCCTCACGGTGGCCTCAGGTTGGAAAGTCTCGGTGAACGGCTACGCGAAATATATGTTGGATGGAATCACTTCGATGTGACCAGCGATACCTCAAAAGACGCACTCATTGGATTAGCTCGATTCGACCAACTGGAGCTTATCAGTTTCGCAAATAACCGAGGTAAAATGAATCGCCTTCCGGACTGGTTGGGCAACACAACAATAAAAACCCTTGATTTGTCACACAGTAATCTCCAGCGGATTGGGCCAGGAGACTTACCAAGAGGCCTAAGGACGCTGAAGTTACAGGCTTGCACCCTCAAAGAACTCAAGCTAATGTGGAGCCAAGACATGGTGGGACTGCTAGAACTTTTTCTAGATGAAACTACCCTTAAGGATATAACAATAGGCAACGCTTCGGGTGACTGGACTACTGCTTTAAAACCTCTGGCAGGCACCTTGCAAACCCTAAGTCTCAAAAATTGCGAACTCATTAGTGCCGGTTTCATGTCGGACGCAACAGATTTCGAAGTGGCCAGAATGCGAATAGGCCTGCTTGGATTTTCTGACTTGCGTAAAGTGGTAATTTCAAGGAATTATCTCACCCATATCCCCAGTGGAACGTTTAAATCTGCCCAGCGACTACAGGAGCTTCATGTGAGAGATAACCTTCTCCAGAGCATTGCAGACCCCAACTGGAGTGGCGTGTATGATCCGAACAATGGAGACGATGGGCGAATGCGGTTAGTTGATCTGACCAATAACGCTATCACAACACTAGACCGGTGTGCTGCGGCGTTGGGGGTAAACAGACCCCTGGAGGAGTTGCTACCCCTGACATGGGAAGACCCAGTTGAAAGAAGAGCCACAGGCTTGAGACTGATGGGAAATCCGCTTATATGTGATTGCCGTCTGCGATGGCTAAGCGACTACGCCAGAAGTGTGATGATTGGTAATACCTACGAGAGGAGCCGAGCGGTCGCCCACAGCCTTAACTTCACGTGCATTGGGCCGGGTCGATGGGCCGGTCGGCGCTTCCTGCAGTTAACACCAACAATGCTACAACAGGAGATGCATCCTGACTGCCATCTACGCAGTGACATCTATGGGGAGATATCGCAACCGAATTGTCGATCCTTGCCTCCACTTAAACAACCTGAGGCGCCTGTGGACGCCGAAGAGGCAGAGGACGCCGCATCGGGATCTGGCTACATCTTTCGACCAGTTCGCGTTTTCGGTTATGATGCGGAGGAACACAAGCTCTGGCTGGCTGTGCGTCCGGACAACCTTAAAAGGGCCTGGAAAAGCATCATGAGACGGCGAAGCCAAATAGACCCCGTCGGAGCCGCCTACTTAGAGCAGATTCTGCCCATCGCTAGGATAGCTCATCTGCCACCACAGACGATCATGCGCATCAAAGAGGATTATGCCGTCTTTCGACTCTTGTTCTGGCCCGTGGGACAGCAGGAGGCAGGTGTACGTGGACCCCTTACCTGGCACGTGACGGAAAAAGGTGCCGGTAAACGGGAATACATCTTTTCAGCTCAGCCGGTATTCAGTAACAGTGCTTATACAGTGTGTCTGCGAGATGCGTTGGCCATGAAGACCTCTGTGCAGTCTACCATTTGCCAAATTTTTCAGCCAAGCGAAATTCTCGGAAAGATCAAGGTGCCCACAGAGGAGAAGGAGGAGGGTGCATTTAACGGCGGCAACATATCTGCAGTTTGGTTGTGGGCGGCGGCGATAACAGTGTCCTGCCTGCTGCTGCTGATCGTTCTTCTGCTTTTAGTAATCTGTTTATACAGGAGGAGGACGAAGAAGAGGGTGAAAAGACGACTGCAAACATCATCAGCAGTCCTTCGGGAGCCAAAACACCGATTTTCCTCGAGTAGCGCTGCCTGGGTTACAGATTCCATCTACGCCAAAATACATGGCAGTCCGGCTGAAGAGTCACTACTGCGGGATGGCGTGAAACTCCCGGTGAGCAACGATGACGATGGTCTGTACGAGCGGCTGGAGGACTTTAATGCCGGAAACGACCACATCAGAGGTGCACAGCGTTGCATTGGAAGCCCATCAATGAGCGAGCGCTCCATGCCAAACTTGAACTGTGTGGACGGCTATGGCGCAAACGAGGCCTCTATTTCAGCCAAACAAGTGAACACCGAAAAGCGAAGGAGAGCATCGAGCAATCTACCAGAGCTGCCCCGTCGCACACCCAAACCAGATACTCGCATCCGGTTTAGGGGTTTCGGGGTGACCGCGACACTAGCTCCCGCAGGGCCCAGTTCTGCGTCAACAGGAGACCTTTACCACAGTGGAGGTGGTACACCACGACCAGGGTGCTCATCCCGCCGGTTCATCCAAAATAATCCGAAATCGACTACTTCGGGGTGGAGAACCTCTTTGACGCAGAAGATCCGTCGAAGCCTTGGAGAGTCCGGTCTAGGGACACGAAAGGGAACAGGAGCGAGTCGAAAAAGCAAAAGTCCCTCGCCCCCAGACCCAAGAGTGAGCGAGATTATAAGTAATGACTGCTTTTCACGTTCACCAAAGTGTACTATCCCCAGTCCCAAATTGCCCCCACCCTTTGCCCTGCTGGCATCCGAGAAGAACAAGTCGGGTTCTTCCACGGAGAACATCAGCACCCCTGGCGCGAAAATCGGTGACGAGGATGGCTACCTGTCAATGCAGCTGCCTGATACGCCGAGTGCTCTCCAAATGGCACAAAAGCAACAGCGTGTAGATGCATACCTGATAGGGGCAGGCGAAGCTCAGCTCACAGACTCTTACATACTTTGTGGCCCCGAGGTCGGCGACTTTATGCGGTCATGCACCACGGGAAGATCTGAAGAAGCCACCGTTGGCAAGCAGACAGAAGCACAGTTACCGCGACAGCCACCCCTAACTGCGAAAGCGACGAAGCTTTACAGCCCTGCATGTTCTATAAGAAGACCAATTTTGATGAATGCATCGGAGAAAACTGCACCACTGTGTTTACCTGAGGTCGATTCTCCCATCGAAAACTGCGACAGTTCTTCGTGAACCGACAAAAAATAGGCGTAAATCCATGACCATAAACAGGTACTTACACCCGGCCATCCCCCCCCCCACACACAAACACACCCTGTGATCTTTACTGCCTGCCGCTCCTTTCTGTATATTGTGACAGAACTAAGCCGTGGTGAGCCCTACTTTTCTTATAGTGTAACAAACTAAAAATTCTCAAAGACTTATGATTCCTGTATTCTGAAAACTTTAGTGATTAATACCTCCGCCTATTATGCTACGTTGTCAAAAAAACAGTAAATGGTAGTGGAATCGGACTGATTACGATAAAATTGGGCAGGGGAATGGCCGATGAGGATGCCACTCGACTGAAAAAGCTGACTTTCGATGGCCTTATAAATTCAAATATACTCTATGGAAAGCATGCACAAAGTATGCTTTATTTTGCTTATTTGGTAGCAAATTAAGTCACTTTCACACATTATACTCGAATGAAGCGTAGGCAGGTATAGGCCTTGAGAAAGCTTTTCAATTCCAGAATGATTTCGGGCCAGCTCAGCCGTTGCATTTGACGATTCCAGCCTGCAAAGTGCATACTTGTCGCGTAATAAAAATCATACATTCCTCTATGCTTTTAAAATGATATCACGTTAAGTTCACAAAATTTTGCAATGGATGCGGACTATGTTGCATATTTCACGAGGAGCATTAATGAAGAGACAGGTATGATGCTGTATGAATGGACATTGCATGATCTCAAAAAATCGCATAATTAGAAACTTCTTTAAAACCGAAAGGGATTCTGTTTTCGAGTATAAAATGTGAAGTTGACTTATGGTAGGGGCGCTCACCAATCGCTCTTACGGAACTCACTCGTTCCGTTGTGCCTTACGGGCTCTCTCTCTCTCGAGCCCAACCAGCAGCCGCACAGCGGCGCATGATATAGGCAGAATGGCATTACCGACAAAGACAAGGGAGACTGGAATGGCCATTTCTGACTTATTCGTCGTCGTCAGCCAGGCATACCCAACCCCGAAGTGTGGATCACCCGAGGCTCGAACTCGCGACCTGTTCGGGGTTGGGTATGACTGGCTGACGACGGCGAATAAGTCAGAAATGGCCATTCCAGTCTCCCTTGACATTGTCGGTAATGCCGAAGCTGACTTAATTTGCTACCAGATAAGCAAAAGAAAGCAGACTTTGTGCATGTTTCCTATAAGATTTATGTGAATTAATAAGGCCGTCGAAAATCGATGTGAAAAGTAAATTCTACTTGAATAGTCGTTTTTAATCGAGTGTAGCCTTTACAGGAGGTGGAAAATAAGTGCATTCAAAAACGAACATCCTGTCAAGATCGAAATACTATAGGATTATAACGTACGGCAATCAATATTCCAGTCCCACCTAAGTAAATCTTCCTAATCGAAAACGCATTTTAGGATTTCGGCCAACACTTTATGAAATCGGTCACTCACTGTAGGTTAGGAAAGTAGTTCCAAGGGATAATCACGGACTAGCGCATTATGAGGGCATTTTCAGTGAAAATGGATGATTCTGCAGAAAATGCCTGGGCAGTAAGTTGCATTTTGTCTGCGCATTGAAATAGCTAATTGATGAACGTACTTTTACCTCCCTACGTCTTAGTTAACAAGGTCTAACGAATCGCACATAAGCATCGTTCCGGTTTGAAGGGACATTGAGTAAATAAACAAAAAACGTCTTGCAACCCTTCTGCGATTAGGATAGTAAGGTCAGTCCTACTCCCAAATGGATCCCTCTGAACGAGCAATTGCACGATGGGAAATTAAGGGACAGCAGTATTAACCGTTCATGAGATGGACAGTGTATCTTGGCCCTTCATGAGTTGAGTTAGCAGCACTCACTCAGCGTAGCATGCTTCACACAGGCATCTAGATAGTCGTCAAGATCGCAGTTACCTCCATCCCATCGAAGGAAAATCTGGATCTGGCGAAGAATGGACGCTACACAGCATAGCTCATACACCTTTGCGGACATAGCCAATTGGATTACGATCCAAGGATCTCGTGCGTCAAGAAAGGGAGTGGACAGTCGTATCTCTTCTGAATGTTCTGAAAGAACGCGGCTGTGGAGTCGTGGAAGATGGATGTAATGAAACCAGGGCATGAGCAGCACGCCTGCAAAACGCCCAGCTCACGATTTCTTCGTATATACGATCTTATAAACCAAAATTAACAGAAAAAGGAAATACAGTACCTACCACGACTGGGGGTAGAATAAAGCTAAGTGTGAAAAAGGAGCCATTGCACACCAACCTTCAGTCCGATGCAGAATCGGGTTATACAGTCAGATAGTGTTTACTAAGCTGAGGAACCACGAGGAAGAGTACATACCTATCGAATTCACTCCCTCTTTGCTTGCCTAGGGCCTGTCACAGGCATGTACGATGAGGGATTACCAATTCCCACGCGCAGTGTTATAGGTCTATCGACTTTGCAGCTAGCAAGGCAAATAAGTAACAAAGTTTGACTGAAAGAATCATATGAATACAAATTTTATTTTGATAGGAAGCGGAAGATATAAACCGAATACGCAGACATGCAGGAAAACACTGCAACCAAGAGATCAGACTCGAGGGAATTGTGTCCTATGATGTACTCTGTGAAAGATTAACAGGAACGCGAAAATGTGGTGGTTTGTTGCAGGAAGTAGCTCTGCTCCGAACACTAAACAAAGCGACTAAACGGAGTTTAAAAGCAAATTCGGGATACAAATTGAAGGTTACTTTATGAGAATTGTACTTCAAAATGGCACATAAATTTACGGAGGCGCCGCGTAAAAGAAGACAGAAACCATAACACGCCATTTTCGACCTTAAGGTACAGGCTCTGTTTCCCACAGACCCAGGTACATGACTGGAAGGCAATGAAAGTGTGCCAACACAGGCGGGTACAACGTGCGTTGACTTCATCGATTACTCCTGTGGAACAACACGCGCTGGTCAGGTGAGTATATGAATGACCAAGGGGATGCGAGAACATGGGCTAGGGTGAAGGAAAGGAAGAGGGTCAACAGTCTGACCTCCGAAGACCCGAGAGAAACCGGCCACTGCACGGACGTCAATAAAACCTTCACTGCAGTCTAAATGGCGACGAAAAACCGCCCAAAGTCGCTACAACAGCGTTTAC